ACGGGGTTTCACCATGTTGACCAAGATGGTCTTGATCTCTTGACCTCGTGATCCACCCGCCTCGGCCTCCCAAAGTGCTGGGATTACAGGCTTGAGCCACTGCGCCCGGCACAATCAAGCTCTTTAATCTCTGTAAGGCCAAACGCTTCTTTTCCTTCAGGTCTCATTTTAAATGTCAGTCTTCTCTGACCTTACCATCTTCAAGAAATGGGGTGAGGGCTTGCCAGAAAGTGAAAAAAAAAAAAACTCATTGGGAAATGGAGGAGGGGAAATCTTTTTTATGGAGTGTCAGAATGTTTAGCAACACTGCTGTTTGCAGTTACGTGAAAAGTAGAAAATATGCCTAGTAAACTGGATGATCTAGCTAAAGAGATCCCTGACCACAGAATCTCAAGTGCTGCCTGGTTTCTTCTTGCTGCTATGACAAAATGTGAGAGGAGAGAGAGAAACTAAAGAAAGGACTGTTAGACAAAATGAGTCATGGCTTTATGGTTTATAAGAATTCTCAGCCTCCCAAGATAGCAAACAATGCTCAAAGGAAGAGATGGCTTCTGAGCAAAGATCACATGCCAGGAAAATATGGTTCATGGATGAAGCTGTGAGCATCACAGTCAAATCTTTTAAGACCTCACAAATATCAAAGGTGGTGCCTCAGAATACTGTTCATTGAGACACAAGAGACTCCACAGAGATGAAGGGCATGCCTCACAGTTCCACTCAATCAAGCAATAGGATTTCTAGGGTTCTTAAGGGCATTGCCATTCATCCTGTTGATGGAATCCCAAGACTTGTCTTCTTTTGAAAATATTTGTAAATTTGATCTTTGTCTACTATAATAGACTCCAATAAGATTCATAGAAGACCCACAAAGTTTTAAAAAGAATTATACAAGCAGAAAAATCACCTATTTGGACTCAAAGGGACACAGAGAAAATAAGATGAAAAGAGGTCTTTGGACCTTTAAATCATGTGGCAGAAAGAAAGTGAAGAACACCACTTAGCTTCAAAGATGTGCTACCTTTCATGAAAAAAAGATGATTCAGATGACAGAACAAGGAGTACAGAAGGTATAGCCGAGAGCTGGAGAGAATTATTCTCAGGCCTTGAGACTTCATCAAGGAACCTTCAACATTTCCCTGTCTGGATTTCATAACAGCTATGAACCTGTGATCCCGGTCTCCTGTTATTCACACCTTTGTATTGCTCCCTCCTATGTTGAACCAGCATTGATCTGTGTGACCAAAGCACACAGCAGAAGTCATGGTGTGTCGTTTTCACATTACGTTATTAAAGACTGCTGCTTCCATATTGAGTGCATGCTCACTCTCTCTCTCTCTGTATTCCTACCCCATCTCTCTCTGTACTTCATTGAATATGTTGATATTTGCTTGTATGTAACACTACAGTATTATTATTAATAGTATTATTAATAGAGTTTTATACATTATGGTTTGCATAGCCCAAGTTTATGCCTGTTATCCTAGTACAACTAGTGCTAGACTTACGACCACGATTGGTTCCGACAGACCAGTCATAATATGATTTGGTCGTAAGTTGAGTAGGCTATATGTACAGTACTGTGAAATGATGTTATAAAAATCTTTAAGTCATATTTTATAATTTTCTTTCATTATTGTTATATACCATAATTTTCTTTATTTTATGCCATTTGTATCATCTCTACACCATTTTGTTTCTTATTTTTACATTCATCAGGTTTAAGTAAAACACTGCATTACCAGTACAACTGGTTTAATATTTGCAAAACATACAAAATTACAAAATACAGGTGCATGGAAAAATACAAAATACAGGTGTAAAAAATACCATAGGAAACATTTTCCCAATTGCAAAACATATCAAAATATAAACATGTACAAAACATTTTATTGGCTGCTGGTGCTTGGCTGCGGATCGTTGATGTCGTCATCTGAGGCAGCAGTTGGGGTTACCGGAGTTGGTTTTTTCATAAACATGGTGAGCTTTGTCTGAATTGTATTTTTCTTTTTTCTTCATAAATTTCACGATACGGACGAAACACATTGTGCGCCATCCGTTCAATCCTTGCAAATCGTTCGATGTTTGGGTCCATTGCTTCGAAATGTATAAGAAGTTTATTGGGAGGGGTTTGATGAAAAATATCCAAGACACAAAAAACAAATTGCTGTACTGAGTCTGGGATAACAGTTGAAATGGTGCACACGGAGATGGTAGTGCTGCCGGAAGCTGGTCCGCACTGTCATACGCCCAGCTGGGCAACGTTTGCGCTGCCAGACGCGGAGCAGTCGTGGCTAGCGATTGTGGTCGTAAAGTTGAATGGTCGTAAGTTGCATAGGTCGTAAGTCGATCAATATCTGTATACATAATTGTTTCTCCACTTTCCCCCAAAAATTATTTCTCCCCCTTTCCTCCAAATAACCTGGATTGAATAATAAATTATATGAATAAAATTATTATTAACATCTCTAGCATCTTACACATCAAGCCATATGTCCGTTTACATGATATAAATACCACTGTGGGACGTGTGTGTGAATGTGAGAAAGAGCGAGTAAACAGAAACAGAGAAAAAGACAGAGAAAGCTGTGCTGGGATCTAAGTATTTCTCCTACTTTTGTTATGTTGTTTACTATTTCCTCTGCCTTTTTGGATGAAAAGTAGCTAGATAAGTAAGAAAAATCAGATACTATATAATAAGGTGATTTTTAAAGGTATAATTTCCATGTTCTTATTTGTCTCTGGGAAGCTTAATTTTGAGGGTCCACATAGCCTGGCATCAGAAAAGCCAACTTTTACATAGATGTTTCAAGTGTGTTTTGAATCAATGTGATTTATGTCTATTTTCTTTCATGCAGGATTTGAAATTCGAAGGGGAAGGACTCAACCAATACATTCCGATGTCACTTTTAAAGACTGGTAAAACATTTGAGAGGTATGTCTCTTAATGTTAGATTTAATGCATTTTATTTATTTTGTACATATGTTTTGCTACTAAGTATGGGCCAATTATGGATGATAGAGACCTCCTAGTTCACTTCATCCAAAGGGTTAGGTTTTTGGGAAGCATGACCCCATTTCATCCTGGGATACATCTAGGCCGCTTCATCTATATGATTTTGGGAATGGAGCATTATAGAATGGTAATATAGCTGGGAGTCATATCTTATTTATTTCCTAGAAACTATGAAAATCCATGGTTCAGCATGGGAACTTTCTGGGTTTGGATCTGACAGCCACCGCTCCTCCATTCAGGTATAGAAGCTGCCTGGCAGCAGGTGCAGGGTCAGGGGCGGTGCTCAAGTTGGTTGGTCTCACTTTGAATCTCAGCCTTTACCCCTAGGATAGTCATAAGAAGGTAGTCAGCATCCCCCAGTATTAGTTTCTCATCAGTTAAGCAGAAGTAATACCGTATTGGATTATTTTAAGGATTAAATAAGAAATGCAATGAATTTGAGAGAGTGCCTTGAGCATGCAGTATTCAATAAATACTAGTTGGTATTGTATATCAGTGGGTCTCAGCAGTGATCAGTGTTGTGCCCAGTATTGGGACATTTGGCAATGTCTGGAGACATTTTGGATTGCTAGGACTTGGTCTGGAGAGGTGCTAGTGGCGTGTAGTCAGTAGAGAACAGGAATCCTGTTGAGCACTCTACAGCATGCCCAACAGTCCTGCAGCAAAGAACTATCTGATTCAAAATGTCAGTGGGGCCAGGTTGGGAGTATATTAGTGCTGCTTACTCATAGCCATTTTCTTGAACGTCTAACCCTATCAGCAGTGCAAATAAGATATCACCTGGAGTTGGACCTGTCTCCCTTTAGTGTGTGAGAGAATAGGCTGTACAGACAGGATTATGTATCACGATGGCAACATTTCAATGAATAGGTAGCTCAAGGCAGAGATGAGTGAGTGGAGAACATCATGCCTCCTGTGCCCAGCATTTCCAATGATACGACTTAATACTAAGAAAACGAGAAGGAAAACCTACAAGACTTTATATGTGAGAGAGTTCTTTATAGGCTAACTTTCAGCAGTGAAAATAGGAACTAACCTAAATATTCAACGATAAGGGATCATTTAAATAAATTATGGTAGACACCTAGAATACTAGGTAATAATTAAAAACTATACGTTAGCCAAAAAAAAAAAGAAAAAGAAAAAAAGAAAATTCTCATGGCAAATGCCCATAACAAGCAAAGTGAAAAATACAAGTTAAAAGATAGTATTATTTATAGCATCAGTCTCATTATGTAAAGGAAAATTTTTTTTAAAAGTGTGTCTAGCTACTCAGCTATAAAGAATAGAAGCCAGTATTTTCCCAGTGGTTATTCTGGGATCTAGGTTAATGGGTGATTTTTTTTTTCGGTGGGTGGTGGTGGTGGTGGTGTTTTTATATATAATTAAAACATTTTAAAATAATGCATAAACACATATACAGTTATAAAATTAAGATGTGCTCTCGAAGGGAGAAAAGAAGAATAAGAACATACCTTAGGACCTAATGCAAAAGTGAACTGATGCCTAGGTTCCTGACCTAGAATATGGCAGCTCCAAGAGGTCAAACATCCCTAGACTTGTCTCTGGGTACCTGGTTTCAGGTTACAGCTGTGATTTAACCTTTCAATGTGCATTGTGCTCCTTTTTCACTTTAAGGAAGGTAATTTTAGAAAATCTTTAATTACAAAGGACTGAGATTCTAACCAGAGACTGTGTTTTCTTTTTTTATCTTTAGGATTATAATCATGAATTTAGTGTCTAATTATTTAGGTGAAGTGTTTAGGACATTTCCAAGTGCTTTACAATTCTTGCTAAGGAAACAAAGAAAGAAACTGAGGAAACCACCTCACTGTGGTTAACATATAATGTTTGAGATCTACTAATGAAATCTGTTTACCTTCATAACTGTATAATAGGGCCATTAAAGACAATAGATACAGTAGTTTAAAAGTAATAAAATTTACAACAAAGTGTATTTAATTTGAAATTGAATTGCCAGCAAATGGTGTCCTAATGAACCCTTGTGTCAGTGTAGCTCTAACCAAATTAAAGGAAATCATTTGTATTACAGGCAACTAAATCAGCAGTGAGGCCCAAAAAGGCTATTCCTCTGCCAAGGGTACAGTCATTGTCACAGAAAGCCCTGCTGATGGAATTAAACTTAAGTCAGGAGACCTGAGATGTGGATCCTTCTTAATTCAAATGAATTTGGGAAGGCAGAAGAACGCTGCTCTCAGGATTGGAAAAGCTGCAAAGAACAACAGCAAAAGGAGTTAACGATAAAGAAGAACATTGGAGACAGTCAGTAAATGTTAATAGGAAGGAAAAGCCTAGCGAGAATTTCTAGGGTTGAAATAGATCTTGATCTCTAACCACTGCATTAAAAAAAGAAAAACTTTATGTCATATCAGCTCATCATCTATTTAATGGATTTTTTTTCTCAGTTTTCCTAACAGTGTATTGAAGGGGTAGAGGATAGGAAATGAAGTTGCAAAAAGTCTTATCAATTATTTGATCTTCTGATGATTTCTGAAACAAGCAACATCTCGGGAGATCAGTGGCCGATGCAGTGAGTCTTATGTTTTATAGGGCCACATCTCCACTCACCTCTTACAAAGCCACATCTCAAAAGCCACTCACCTCCTTGACTTGAATCAACTTCAGCGCCTGTAATGTGGTGCTTACCTAATTTCTAGTTAATCTGACAAAATATTTAAGGAAAACCTCAAACTGTGTTGTGAGTTTAAAGGCAAACCTTTTTGTTATACTCCATTGTCAATTTCTCTTTCTTTTATCTTCCTTCTTTCTTTTAACTGCAGCAGAACTCCAAGTCAACCATTCATTGCAGACCTAAATATTTGTAAAAAGGATAGTGCAGCCCAGCTTGGTACCCTCACAGAAGTAACTAATGACTCAAAGAGAGCAGCAGGACCCCGCTGGAAGGTGAGGCTCTTGCCACTGACTTTTTCTCTGATGCAAAATGTTAAATGATGAGATCAATTGTATTGATCCAGCTGCCTGCTGTGCTTTTCCTCCTGTAGGACTCTTTAGAGAAACAGAGTTTCAGCAGGTCTTTATATATATATATATATATATATATATATATATATATATACATATATAATTTTTTTTTTTGGGTGAGAATTCTGTGCTGAAATAGAATGGCTAAAAACTCTCAGCAAAGCCACTAAAATTCCCCAAGACAGGTTGTCAGCAAGGCCAGGCTCCGTCCTGCGAGACAATGAGGCAGGCCTGCCACCATGCAAATGAGACAAGGCTTGAGATTTGATGAATCTTCTATCTCCTTTCCCTACTTGGCTGACACTCGCTTTGAGGAAGGTTGTAAATGCAAGAGAGATTGTGGTATAATTCCTCAGACTGGCATTTCTGCCCCCTAGTCACCATTCGATTATCTTCCAAATTGCTGTGTTTCAGAGAGATAAAGATTTTTTATGGCTTGCTGACTTGAAACAACCACAAGAACCAGCAAAGAGATGGCTGAGCGGCCATGCATAGTAATTCCATTGGTAAATGACAAAATCTTTGTTTGTATGACATTTTCAAAATTACTGCAGAAGATGAATCTGAAATACAAAATGTCACATTTAGCATGCAAAACTATCACAATATATTTCAGTATAAAATTCATAGAGGCGTTTAATTTAGAATGTGTTTAATAACTCACTCTGCCTGCATCAGTAATCCTGCCTTGAGGTTTAAAAAGATTGTCTTATTTATTCATATGGTGTTAATTTTTAAAATATTTTTGGAAGCCAAAATATTAAGGTTAAGTCTTTATTGTTAATTAAGATTTTCTAATTAAACCAAAAATAATTGTTATTCCGATTAGTTTTTAAGTATGATTTGT